CTAGAGCATCGGCCTTACTATTCTAATCTCGGGGAACGTGCTGCAATGTCCATTCCCTAAATTGATGCAGTATTACCTGTAACTTGTCTAAGTATCTTCGCATCCATTCCTATTTTACTTCGAACGTTCCATTGACTTGATTTACCACGAGAAGGGAGTCACACTTTGCTTCGATCACCTCGCCCCAAGGTTTTAGCCAGTTCAAGACCTTTAATTATAGCCTCGTACTCGGCCTCGTTGTTAGTCAATTTCACAGTTCTAATAGACTGCCTAACTACATTGCATGTAGGTGGCTTCAACACAATGCCAAGTCAGGAGCCCCTTGCATTCGAAGCACCATCCATAAAGAGGATCCAAACTCCCGAGGTATTCCTCGAGGTTAACAGTAATTCCCTTTCGATTTCGGGTATTAAGGCAGGCATAAAGTCAGCCATGAAGTCTACCAAAATCTAGGATTGAATGGCGGTTTGGGGTCGATACTTGATATCGTACCCAATGATTTCGATAGCCCATGATGTTTGAGTTTGTGCATGATGTTCCTCAGTGGGTAAGAGGTTACGACACATATGGGGTGGTATTGAAAGTATGGTTTTAACTTTCTGGAGGCGCTTAGTAAAGCGAGCGCCAATTTTTCCCAGTGAGGGTACCTTGTTTTAGCCTCACCTAGAGTTTTACTGGCATAGTAAATAGGGAATTGTGTACCTTCTTCTTCCCATACTAATACTCCACTTACCGACACCTCGAAAACCGCCAAGTAAAAGTACAACTATCCGTCTGCCTCCAAAGTGTGCAGCATGGGTGGACTTGATAGGTACCGTTTGAGCTCTTCCAAATCCTATTGGCATTTCGAGGTCCAGGAAAAATTATTCTTCTTCCTCAACAGTGAGAAGAACTAATGGCTTTTATCAGAGGACCTTGATATGAACCAGCCTAGAGCGGCTATACGGTCGGTTAGCCTCTGAATGGCCTTGACGTTGTCCATCACAATGATATCTTCTATGGCTTTGATTTTGTCGGGATTGATCTCGATTCCCCAATTGGATACCATGAACCCGAGGAATTTTCCCGATCCGATCCTGAATGCACACTTCTCCAGGTTCAGCTTTATATTGTATTTCTTCAATATATCGAAGGTTTCCTACAAATGTTTCAAATGGTCCTCTGCTTGCAAGGACTTAACTAACATGTCGTAAATATAAACTTCCATTGATTTCCCTATTTGTTCTACTAGCATCCGGTTTACTAGGCATTGATAGGTGGCACCAGCATTCTTTAATCCGAATGGCATTACATTATAACAATAGGTGCCGAATTTAGTAATAAAATAAGTTTTTTCTTAGTTGCTCGGATCCATCCGAATTAGGTTGTACCCGGAATAGGCATCGAGAAAGCCTATCTCGTGCCCGACCGTCACGTCGATTATCCGATAGATCTTAGGCAAAGGAAATGAATCGTTAGGGCATGCCTTGTTCAAGTCTTTGTAATCTACACACATTCTTAGCTTATTTTCCTTTTTAGTTACTATCACTACGTTAGCTAACGAGTCTGGGTACTTGACTTCCCGAATGGACCCTATTTTAAGGAGTTTAGATATCTCGTCCTTGATAAATGCATGCTTGACCTCAGACTAAGGTCTCCTCTTCTGTTTAACTAGGTGGAACTTCGGGTCCAAACTCAGTTTATGAGTGGTTACCTCCGGTAGGATCCCTATCATGTCAAGATGGGACCAAGAGAAATAAGCTATGTTAATTTTAATAAAATTAATGAGCTTTTTCCTGAGCTTGGGGGTTAACCCCATGTCCAGGTATACCTTTTGATCTGGCATGTGTTCGATCAATGTGACTTGCTCCAACTCTTCGCCCGTTAATTTAGTGGCTTCGATATCATCAGGTGTTATAAATGACCTCAGAACTCCGTAATTGTCTTCTTCGTCGACTCCTCGTTCTGCCAGTCCGAATGGGACCAGCATCCGTGGTTGCTATTTAACTTCAACCTTTTTAGTCGGCTCCATGTTCCTTAATGTCGAGACGGTGGGAACCGGGAGTACTTCATCAACTGTGAACGCCTCCATTGCAACCGGCTATTCTCTGTATACCATCTTGATTCCTCCCGGTGTAAGGAATTTTAATGCCTGGTGTAAGTTCGAAGGTACCACCCTTATATTGTGAACCCATGGTCTTTCGAATAGATTAATCACATAGAACTTTGTTTCCAGGATGGTACCGGTGATATTTACTAGTAGGGTTATCTCCCCTTTAGTGGTTTTACATGCCATGTTAAATCCGTTCAACACCCGGACTGCCGGCACTATTTGGTCTTGTAACCCCAATTGCTCTACGACCCTCGATCTAATAATGTTGGCCGAGCAACCTAGATCAATCAACACACGTTTAACTCAAGATCTATTGACAATATAGATATTACCAGTGCATCATTATGATGTGGTATGATGCCCTCAGCCTCCTCGTCGCTGAACGAAATGGTTCCCTCTGGGATATCATCTCTAATACGTTTCTCCCTTGTGATGGATATTTAAGTGCATTTTATCATCGGCCCTTGAGGGACATCGACCCCTCCAATGATCATGTTGATGATGTGTTGAGGTTCCTTTTGTTCGGTCTATTTGTTGGCGTCCCTGTTTCTGAAGTGGTTTTTCGATTGATCACTCAGGAATTCTCGTAAGTGCCCGTTATTAAAAAATCGGGCAACTTCTTCTCTTAATTGCCGGCAATCCTCGGTCATGTGGTCATGAGTGCCATGATATTTTCACATCAAGTTAGGATCTCTCTGGGTAGGGTCGTACTCCAATGGTCGAGGCCACTTAGTATCCTTGATGCGCCTGATGGCTGACATGATATTGGTAGCATCGACATTAAAATTGTATTCCGACAATCTTGGTGCCTCAAAGGCCCCGAACGGCCTATCGAAACCATTTTTGCTCATCAGACTTCGGTTATTGGGCCCTCGATCGCTTCTCTTCTCATTCCTCATAGGGTGATGCCCGAACCTATTACCCATTCGATCTTCGTTGTATGGTTGATACTGGTATTAGATCGATCTTGGTGCATGATCGAAAACTCTCTTAGACATGTCATTGTTCTAACGGGATAAACGGACCTAAAGGGGGATCCGAGTTGGCCATCCTTGACTTTGATTTTCGACTGGTACCTGTTGTGGACGTTGGCCCAAGTTACCGTCGGGTACTCCACTAATTTGTTTTAGCTGCTGCGAAGCCAAGGAACTTTGGAAGTTAAGTCCTTGAGTAAACGCCTGAACAACCCAATTATCCGCAACCGGAGGCAGATCCATTCATTCCATTTGAAATCCTAATACGAACTCCCTGAGCACCTCGTTGTCTCTTTGCTTAACCTTGAAAAGGTCCGATTTCCTAGTCTCGACTTTGATGGCCCCGACATGAGCCTTCACAAAGGCATCTGCAAGTGTAGTAAATGAAATCAATAGAGTTTGGGGGTAAGTTGTGATACCATATCATTGTTCCTTTTGATAGAGTTTCCCCGAACTTCTTTAGCAATACCGACTCGATTTCATCGTCTTCCAAGTCGTTCCCCTTGATGGAACACATATATGAGGTCACATACTCATTTAGATCCGGGGTTCCGTTCTGCTTTGGAATATCTGGCATGCGAAACCTCTTTGGGATCGGCTTCGGTGCGGCGCTCGGAGGGAAAGGCTTTTGGATAAACTTCTTAGAATCCGGTCCTTTTAATATCGGGGGTGCTCCTAGGATTTGGTCGACCCTGGAGTTATATGTCTCCACCTTTTTGTCATTGGCCTCAATTTTCTTCTCACCGGATTCCACCCGCTTCGTCAATGCTTCAAGCATTTTCATTATCTCGGGGTTGGCCCAAGGCTCAGCTTCATCCGAACTCTCATTAGTTTGGTCGTTTCTTCGGGTATTCTCCCAGGACCGTTCGAGCTCAACCCTAACTAGAGGGTGGCCCTGATTCTGTAGCTGTGCTACCGCCGCCTATTGAGCCTGCAACATTTCGAAGATTAGCCGCACGATTATCCCATCACCTTCGCCTTCGGGCGTCCCTCGAACTGTTGGTTGAGGGCCTCCACGAATGCTATTTTTGGGATCAGTTGGAAAGTGGGCATCCATAGCAATTTGTGAATTGGCGTCGATTGGATCGACGACTGGGACACCATTGGGATCAGCAGGGGGCACTTTATTGCTAGGCACCAGATTGTTGTTTTTGCCATGATGGCCAGACTCAGCCTCAACGTTCAAGTGAGCAAACTGAGAGTTTGACATTTTTAAGCTGACCTGAAATTGAAACCTTAAAGAACAAGCGTAAAATAGAAGAAACTTCCACTTTATATAGTAGGAGAGTTTCACCCCAAAAAACAAATAATAAAGAACAAAGAATAAAAATAAAGTAAAGACTTTTCAATAGCTAGAAAGCAGAAAAATAATTTTGTATTGCCTTGGTATGCATGATACAATCTGTCTTATCAAAGAAGAAACTTCTACTTTATATAGTAGGAGAGTTTCACCCCTAGTACAATTCTAAAAAAGGTAAAAATCTTTTTTCTCGTCAATTACTGATCCGCTGCCGACGTCGGGCGAAATTTGCGCCGTTATATCCGGTGGGGTGTAGATACCACGACCCTCTGTTAGTCGTGTGCAATGTTGTCGTGCTTTCCGAGGTCTCGAAGCTCGTTTCAGTTCGGGAAAGTGTTGTCTTATCAGGCCCGGTGACGAGCTCTCCGTTCGGACCTCGTTTTTCAGCTTCAATTTCGATCCCATATAATTATGTCCTTGCCTCGTTTGACCCACCGGAAAGTCGAGATACTCATAAGCCCGAGTTTTACCTGTATACATAAAACAAAAAGAAAAAGAAGTAGCAACATGAGATTTAGCGTGAAGTTTGTCAAAACTGACTAAATTTTAAATAGTTTCTGAGACGAAAAAAAAAAAAGGCATGCTACAAGTGGCTACTTGGTGTCAACCTTCATCAGCTCCAAAGTCCAAAACCTTAATGCATTTGAAGCTACCCGTTTAAACGCGCCAGAGAACAAAACCTACACAACCGCCGGTTGCCGCCCATACCAGCCACCTCTTTCGTTCACATTCGCCCATTTTCTGTTATATGTGAAACCTGTTCATAAATTTGACCAGCAGATGCGGAGGTAAAATTTGAAAAGTGAAACACTGGCGGCAACTTTACTAAACTCACCAAAAGGTAAGTTATTTTCGTTGCCTTTAAATTTATTCATCAATTTCTAATGTTATATGATCTATATTTCTTTTGTATTTTTCGACGGAACAAAAAAAGTTAATGTTGATGATAACGAAAATGGGGTTCTGGTAAGTGTTTATTTGTTGCAAATTAAGTGTTGAGCTAATAGCTAGCAAAGGGAGTGGGTAGTTGAAACCACAGGAGCCTATGTGTTAGCTGGAAAAGAAACTCAAACTGAATCATCTCAATTTTCCTGTTATCTCCACACACCACCTCAACAACAACAACAACAACAACAACCCATTAAAATGCCATTGTGGGGTATGGGGAGGGTAGTGTGTATGCAAACCTTACCTCTACCCCGAAGGAGTAGATAGACTGTTTCTGAAAGACCCTCGGCTCAAGAAAACAAAAAGACAAAAGGAGACAATATTAGTAGTACCACAGAAATCATAGAAAAAATATGGACAACATGAAATCCAGAAGAAAGATGCAAAGCTAAATCGATAGCTAGTAAATAGGACCTGCACTGAAAAGCGAAATAGTAAATATCTCCACACACCACCTGTTTGATGGAATTCCCAACGGGTTTCTCTGAACAAGATAACTTTTTGAGTCAAGGAAGTGGTTTGAATTTTTTTTGTGGTTATTCATTGTACTGGAATTCTCATTGAGGGGGCTATCCTTTCTTGTATATTGAGGTTTGTGCACTCCTGTCTGATCTAGTTTTTGTAAACAAGTGCTTACCCTTTGTACAATATCTGGTTATTTTGGTAATGTTAGTGTTGGGACTTCACTTCTAGACATGTACATGAAAATAGTCAATGGCAGAGATGGGCAGAGAGTGTTTGATGAGACGGAGCACGAGAAAGTTGCGACTTTGGACTTTGTTGCTTTCAGATTATTCGGGCAATGAGCTGGTTGATTGAGCTTTACATGTTTTCCATATGATGTTAGTTGGAAGAGTTAAGCCTAACACGTTTACTTTCGCTACAGTTCTTGGAGTCTGGCTGATAAACGTGCATTTGAATTATGGAATTCAAGTGCATACTGTGGTCATCAGATGTGCTTTTGAGGTGTATAACATCCCTGGGAATTTATTGATCAGATTGTATTTGAAGTCCGGGATGGTCAAAGAGGCCACAATTGTATTGGAAGTATGGCAATAGGAACGAAAATGGCCTGGTAATAGCTGGTCTTGTGTCTAATGGACTTTATGCTGAAGTACTTAAGTTGTTCCACATGATGAGACTTGCAGCTTTAAGGTCACGTTACAAAGATTGGGTAATATTTAGACCATAATATTAGAATGTCACTCATGGTTCCTTATACTAAGAGGGGGGAAATTGATGATGCCTTTATGTTGTTCTTTACTATGTATAGATTTTTTATGGGTCTCTACTATGCAAAGATTTAGGAATGTTGTTTTTTAGATGGACAAAGTTACTCGAGACAAAAAGTACTAGGTAATTTCTTTCTATCTGCCTAAACTTTGATGGACAAAGTTACTAGATACCTGTGGTAGTAGAAGGTAGCAAGTGTAGTCGAGGTGCACAAAAGCTTACTCGGACACCACAATTATCAAAATATGCAGAATAAATTCTGGGCTTAAGCGAGCAACAATGTATTTTGCCAAATAAAAAAGGGATGGGCTTAAGCGAGCAACAATGATCAAATGGTTTCACTTATTCAACTATTTTTGCAGCTCATCCCTCTATTCGTTGTTCCAAGTACATGAAGTAAGTCATAAAAACCAAGTAACAGGGCTCACCTACAGTAGGAAATGTTCTATTAGATGCGTATATGAAAACAAGAAGCACCGGTGAGGCTGAAAAGGTTTTGTTGAGATTGATGAGGACATTATTTCATGGTCTGCCATGTTATCCTGGTTATGTGCAAAGAGGACACCCTCAAGGTGCTGTAAGAATTTTCTGAAAATTAGCCAAAAGTGGGTTCAGGCCAAATCAGTTTACCTTCCATGGCATCAGTGGAGCAAGGAAATCAATATCATGCAAACTCAATAAATCAGGTTGAGTAATGCCTTATGCTGGAGTAGTACCCTGGTGACTATCTACGCTAAAATAGGGAACATAGAAAGTGCAAATGAAGTTCTCATGAGACAACAAGAAAGAGACTTAGTGTCATGGAACTCAATGCTACCAGGATATGCGCAATGTAGTTATGGCAGAAAATCACTAATGATATTTGAGGAAATGCAGAAAGAAATGGACAATACAACATTCATCGGAGTTATTTTGCCTTTATCCATGCAGAACCACAATGAAGGTCAATATATTTTGACATGGTGGTTAATGACCTTTATATTTCACCAACAATGGAGATCTACTCTTTCATGGTAGACTTGTATAGGCGAGCTGGTTTGCTGGATTTAGCGGCGGCTCTCATCAATGGAATGCCGTTTCCTGCTGGTGCAATTATATGGCATATTCTCCTGGCAGCAAGCAGAGTTCATAGCAATGTAGAGCTCGGGAAACTTGCAGCAGAGAATCTCATTTCCCTTCAGCCTCATGACTCAACAACATACGTCCTAGTAACTGGAAATTGGAAAGAGAGAGCAAAAGTACGAAGACTAATGGATGTGGAACAGTTAAAAAAGAAATTGGATGTAGCTGGATTAAGATTTAAGAACTAGACAGAATCATTCATCGAGCCTGATGTTTCACATATATGCATGAAACTTGAAGAATTAAGCGTTCGATTGAAGGAAACAGGATATCAACCGGCAAATTATGTTCTTCATGATGTGGAAGAACTCTGGATATAAGCCACTTCCACCATTTGTATTGTTTGTTCTCCTTGTTAGTCACACTTTGACCTTACGAGATATGTTTGTAGTTTGAACTTAGGAAACCTGGAACTTTCAACTGTATTGCAACTTGTAAGGTTGAAAGATTCATCGTTTTTATTTTGCATCCGAGGGTTTTGCCTAGCGGTCAATTAAGTGGGTGAGAACTATGAGGTCTCATGTTCAAATCCCAGCGGAGGCAAAAAACGCATGGTGATTTCTTCCCATCTATTCAAGCCTTGGTGGACAGAGTTAACTGGTACTTGTTGTTGATGGGAGGTAGGGGAAATTAGCTGAGGTGCGCGCAAGCTGGTCCGGACACTACGGTTATCAAGAAAAAAGATTCATCATTTTTTTGATAAGTTATGACTTATGAGTTAAAAAAAGATTCGTAACTTTTTCTTTTTGAACTGGTACAGTAGTGAAAGATTCATAACTTTCTTTTGTTCAGCTGATGATGCTATTTATCTAAATATCATGAATGTTGCAACTTCAGTGAGCTCTAATCTTAGCTCTTGGGAGGAGAAATTTTTGATGAGGGGCTCATTTTTTTTTCCCATTAAAATAATTACGTATCTTTTTTCAGAGCTGATATGAGTGATCCAGCAAGTGAATCAAATGACACGCATTCAAGCTCTCAAGAATCTCAAAAGCCCCAGATTGAGCCTATTCGGATGCCTACCGTGGAGGAAATAAGGGGCCAAGACATTTGGAACAACTGTGCTGTTCGCAGTGTTGTTAGCGGAGTCATGGGTATGTTTTTATACAAGGCATGGTGGATTTGTCTCCTAGTTGAATTATTTTTTGTCTCTTATTGTTGAGTGTTTTTTCTTAATGGATGGAATGTCCAGAATGTCATTCTGGCAATACCTTAATATAATGGATCACAATAGTTCTCCTCGAAAACGATGGATGACTATAATTCTATGTTTGATGTCATAACTATGTTACAAGACTCAAGAGGTAATCCAAGAGACATTTTAAACTTCATCCTGTTGCTATGGTTGTCTAGCTCATAGTCTCTTCTACTCCTTTAGTTGGAAGAGAGAATGAGAGAGCCTGATTCCAGCTAGCTTACAGCTTCTGTCAACTGATATTGTTTTCGAATAGAGTGTGTTTTTAGATCTTCTATTTGTATCCAATTAGATACTCCCTCCGTTTCAATTTATGTGAACTTATTTCCTTTTTGGTCCGTGCCAAAAAGAATGACCCCTTTCCTTATTTGGAAACAATTTACCTTTATGTAATGATTTATAGCCACACAAAATATATGTGCCTTATTTTACACCACAAGTTCAAAAGTCTTCTCTATTTTCTTAAACTCCGTGCCCAGTCAAATGGGTTCACATAAATTGAAACGGAGGGAGTAATATTTTTCTGGTAATTTTCTTAAAATAATATCTTTGTGGATGTTTATGGGCTTTGCTGTGGATTACTTCTTCGGTTCATTTATTGACACATTGTTTTTGTTTTGTAGGAGGGGGGCTCGGTTTGTTCATGGGTCTGTTTCTGGGGGCACTAGATAACCCAATAATGCAAGAGGAAATGACAACGAGGCAACAACTTGTATACCAAGCAAAGCAGATGGGTAGGAGGAGTTGGAGTTCCTGCAAGACTTTTGCTGTTATGGGTTTGGTTTTCTCTGCTGCTGAATGTGTCGTTGAGAAGGTACTTTTGATCCTTAGAGAGGATAACCATATGATGTTCTCCAGCTCTCATTTTACAAAATCCTTTTACTTTTTCAAACCAAGGAAGAGAATTGGAAGTCAGTTTCACAAATAGAGTTGGATACTTTTCAAATATTCTAAAACTCAAATTTGACTTTTCTCTTGTATTATGTTCATAGGCACGGGCAAAGCATGACATGACAAATACAGCAGTTGCAGGGTGTGTAACAGGAGGCACATTATCAGCTAGAGGTAAGATTTGTTACTTTGACCTTGCAAAACATATACAGAAAGGATCTTCAGTAAATATATTTTTATATCTTGCATCTATACTCGATTCATATATGTTTGGTCTAGATAAAGTGATATGGATAGTGAGATTCATTTAGAGACAACCAGGGGAGTAGTATCATAGCAAAAAGAAAGTAAAAGAAGGGATTTCTGGGGCATTGTCATCAGAATGTAACTCATACCATGCAAAAAAGGAAGGCGAAATCAAATGTTTAACGGAATCTTTTCCACAAAGAGGTTTCAGCTACTTAAAGTTAGAGAGCGTCCAAAAATTCAAGATTTTTAAATGATTGGACTGCATTACTTTATCATAAGTTGCATTTAGAAGGCAGATGTGCAAGGTGAGGTGTTCTACTGATCACGTGGCAGGCGTAAGACCCACGAATTTTTAACTCAAAATATTTGTAAAATAAGAATATTATGCGAGGGCTCCACACAAAGTGGCATGTTTTACTTGGATAATTTCATATGCGGCATGGCTTACGATGGACAACTTACAGAAAAGGGGACTCCAGAGCTGCAGCATATGTTTTTTGTGCGAAAAAGAAAATGAAGGATATAGTCGTATGTTCCTACATTGTCCTATGGTGATTCAACTATGGCACGTGTTTTTGGATATCTTTGGATTTAAGTTGGTCTATGCCTAAAACACTGAAGGAACTGCTTATCTGCTGGAACATCAAGGGCATTGATAAAAAACTAAGGAAAACATGGCTAACCATACCAGCTCGCATATGGCGGACTGTTTGGAAAGAAAGGACTTAAAGATGTTTTGAGAATAGGAAAGAGCTCATTAGCAAGATCAAGTTAACTGTATTTTCCTTTCATTTTGGTGCATATAGGTTCAAGTACCTTGGGTCGGTTATCCAGGGGAACGGGGAGAAAGGCGAGGATGTCACACGCCGTATTGGGGTGGGGTGGATAAAATGGAGATTAGCTTCTGGAGTACTGTGTGACAAGAAAGTGCCTCTGTTACTCAAAGGTAAGTTTTATAAAGAGGTGGTTAGACCGGCCATGTTGTATGGGGAGTATTGGCCACTTAAGCACTCACATATCCACAAAATCAAAGTAGCAGAAATGAGGATGTTGAGGTGGATGTGCGAGCACACTAGGATGAATAAGATTAGAAATGAAGATATTCGGGAGAAGGTGGGCGTGGCTCCTATGGATGACAAGATGTGGGAAGCGAGCCACAGATGGTTCGGACACGTACGGAGGAGAAGCCCGGATGCCCCAGTTAGGAGGTGTGAGCGGATGGTCTTGGCGGGTACGAGAAGACTGAAGAGGTAGAGGGCGGCTTAAGATGTATTGGGGAGACTGGAGAGGTGATGTGATAGGACATGACGTGGCTTAAGATTTCCGAGGACATGACCCTTGATAGGAAGGTGTGGAGGTCAAGCATTAGGGTAGTAGTTTAGGAAGTAGTTGAGCACTTTTTTTCTACTTTGTACAGGTGTGAGGCTAGTTTGATAGGGTTTTGTCTTAGACTGATAGTGGTTAATGTGGTGTTCGCACTATTCTCCCGTTTTTCATTGTGTCAGGCCTTACCTTTTGGTTGTTGTTAGTGCTTTTCATCTGGTTCTTACGTTGCTGTCATTATTTCAATTATTTTCTATTGATAGTACTAATATATTGTCTCTCTTTTCTCTACTGGAAACAACCTCTCTGCTAGTTCAGGGAATAGGCTGCAGTATACTGAGCCAGATGGGGGAAATATTGTTGGCAATTTTGTCCGATTCCTTATGGAATCATCTCTCTCTCTGTGTATGTGTGTTGTGGTTTTTCACTTTTGATGATAGTACTGTAGAATTAAGTATGTTTTGGGCTGCTTATATTACGGCTTATATGTGGCTGATGAAGCAAGTAATTGGACTGTTTGCAATTTGACTTATAATTTCTATCAAGCATCTCTTTTTATTTGAACTACAATCCCATTTTGTTTCAGGTGGACCGAAAGCTGCGTGTGCAGGTTGTGCTGGTTTTGCTACATTTTCAGTTTTGATAGAGAAGTTCTTGGATAGATATCACTAATCCAAGTAAGTAGACAATATGGATCATTTCTCAGCCTGTGACAATAGAAGTTACACCAACCTACATATATTTATAATCACATTATTTTTGCCCCCAAAATCACAAGCTTAATTATGCCCCTTACATGAGGGATGAGCAATGTTGTAAACATGCCACTAACTTTATACGTCATATTTACCCTCTGTGCACTCCTTGAATTCTTGCTGGTCCCAGAACTGGGAAAATGTAGCATTTATTTAGACACATTTTGAGACATTTTTGTTTAATAAGGTAGTTAGGTTTATGTCCCGTTTGTACTGTATGTATACTTTCTTTTACTCTCCACTGAAAAATGCTAGCTTCTTAGCTAGTCAATTTAGCCATTAGAAGATGGGAAAACAATATAATGGTTGGGATTATTAGGTATGGCTAATGTTTGGAATTTCTATTGGTCGTTAGTTCAGTTTTGACGAGCGCCAAAGGTAAGACAGACTTATTTCTTATACTCTGAGCAAGCACAAGGAGCTAGTGTGCCAACTGGTTGTATTCCTATGTATGTTCAACTCTGCAGTCCCTGTAGTTCCTATAAGTTAAAAGCTTTTAAACGAGAATACTAGATTGATATGAACTGCCTGTGGTACTTTTATTTTCTAGTAATACCAACTGTTCTTGAGCATACATGGTGTATAGCTCAAGGTATACGACATACCAAGGGTGTAGCGGGTACCTTCTGAAATTAGTTGAGGTGTGCGCAAAGTTGGCCTAGACACCACATTATAAACCAAAAAAAAAAATTAAAAAAATGAGTGCCCCATTTATCAATGCGTTAGTACTTAAAACTTAAGCCATCGTAGTTGCCTCGGGGCATTTAGAGATTGCCACTAAATTAAGTCAAAACATAGCCGTCTAAGGCATTAGTTAAGACAGATCCTATCTTATTGATATCCACTTCTATCACATCGACTTCTCAATTTTAATGTAAGAAATTCATTAAAGAAAGCTGATATGAAGAAAATATCGTAAGTATATGATGTGGTCATCCTAGCCTCTGTCGAAGCAAATTTTGTCAGGCTTCAATGATCATTTGAATAATATATGTGCATGAATAATAGTTACCCAACCGTTTTCTGAACATCAATTGAGAGATCTGTAGTTCTGTACCCATTACGCGGCGTTATTCCTTTTATTTTTCTTTTCTAGCTATATGGACAAACCATGTTTTCATTGAGTGCCTCCAAGCTATATATGTAGATCTAATCACCAATGATATTCTTCAACTATCTTTTTCACCATTCTTTCTTTTACAATTTTTGACGTTATATACAAATTAACTCTTGAAGTTTATGAAAGTTGTAGATTTTGTAGTTGCAATTTTTATTTGTTAAGATGGATTAGTTTGAAATGTATTGCTTGTATATATCCTATGCTTCAATGTCTCGGATGAACATCTTAATTTCTCCAACATAAAAGGTGCAAGGGGAAGAGTCAAGGCGAATTTTCTCAAACACAGAAACTAGTGGTTGAGAAAATGTGAGGAGAATTTTAAACTTGAGATGTTAGATAGTGAAAAATCAATGAATGCAGACAAGAGAGGATTGCTCAATTGGTGAGTAATCTTCATATCCAACCCAAAGGTTGTGAGTTCGACTCACCAAGGGAGCTAAGTAGGGAGCTCCTAGGGAGAAGTTAAAAAATATAAAATAAAACCAGTTGAGTAATTCTTTCTTGTATGTATTTATTGGTTTATGTGTTTGGAAACATTCACCTAGGAGAGAATTGTCAACCTAGCTGCTATCCATACAAGCACAAGTACTTATTTTCTACATTTTGTTCATATTGAAGCTGAAGGGTTAACATTTTGGATCCACAAGTACTTATCAGTTGCTCTATCAATTGGTAATCAGACTTTTTGCAAATTTCTTACTTATCCCTCTTATCCCATTACATCAAATTGACAAATCCATTCTATTGGTTATGTTCTTCGTCTTAGCAGTTCAAGATCCAAAACTTGTCCGACCCTTCTTCTACCCATTCTCTCCC